TAAATAAAGGCCAGGCACGGTGGCTCACACCTGTAATCCCTGCACTTTGGGAGACGAAGGCAGGAGGACTGTTTGAGCCCAGGAGTTCGAGACCTGCCTGTGCAATACGGTGAAACCCCATTTTGTAGAGGTGAAACCTCTACAAAAAAAAATACAAAAATTAGCTGGGCAATGTGGCGCGTGACTGTAGTCCCAGCTACTCAGGAGGCTGAGACAGGAGGATCGCTTGAACCCAGGAGGTCGAGGCTGCAATGAACTGAGATCTCACCAGGGCACTCCAGCCTGGGCGGCCGACCGAGACCCTATATCAAAACAAAACAAACTTTTGAAAAACAGACGCAGGTGCCCCTGGGGGCTTTGCTGCTTCTTGGCACCTGTCGTATAATCTGTAATGATGTGATTTCTGTGATTCCTTTCACTGGCTAACTCCATTCTTTCCTTGGAGACTCAGCTTAAATATCACTTCCTTCAAGAAGCCTCCCTCAACTGCACCCAGTCTCAAGCTATACTAAGCCCCTCTGGTCCCTCAAGGCATCCTGTCCTGGCACTTACCAGACTATGCTGTATCATTCTCGTTATTGCATGATCCCCGTCCTTTCAACCCTGACCTCCATATGCCAGACTGGGAGCTCCTTAAAGGCAGGGACTGTGCTTTCCAGCTGTACGTTCCCAGAACTTCAACACTGGGCCAGACACCTTGCAGGTGCTCAAAGAGTTTTGTGGAATGAAGTAGAGGAAACCCAGACTTGGTGAGGAGGAACAGCAAAACCCAGTCCGAAGGAAGGCAGGCTACTGGGGAACAGTCAGGTAGATGAAGTTACCAAACAGGGAGGGTTGAGGAAGAGGAGCCATGGGGGTGTTGGGGGTTTGGTGATGGTGAGGACCACAGCCAGACAAGGCAGGACAAGGAGCACTGTCAATAAAACTGACTAATCCAGGAAGGCCTCCTGGAGTGGGAGCGCCATATGCCTCCAAGAAGTGATTTGGGGCTTAGGAATACATAAATAGATCCAACCTGCTCACACACTCTTCTCTGGGAGTCAAGGAACTGGGTTGTGACAAGTCATGGAAGTACAGCTTCTTTAAGTCTCTCTGCCCAGCCCCCAGCTCCAGCCTTTCTTAGAAACTATAGGCACGGTGGCTCACACCTACAACACTGTGGGAAGCTGAGGCGGGAGGATTGCTTGAGCCCAGAAGTTCAAGACCAGCCTAGGCAACATGGTGAAACTCTGTTTCCACAAAAAAAAAAAAAAAAAAAAAAAAGAAAATGAAAATTAGCCAGGTGTGGTGGTGGCGCATAAATAGTCCCAGTTACTTGGGAGGCTGAGGTGGGAGGATCACTTGAGCTCAAGAAGTCAAGGCTGCAGTGAGCCGAGATTGCACTGCTGCACTCCAGCCTGGGTGACAAAGCAAGACCCTGTAAGAAAAAAAAGAAGAAAAGAAAAAGAAAGAGAGAGAGAGAGGAAAGGACCAGATTTGTGTCTTACGGTAGGTTGATGGTATCATCCTCCAAGAAGTTGACCAAATTGCCCTTTGAGGAAAGTGGGAGTCCTTTGGTAGTGACGGTCCGGTTCATAGACTTGGGGTTTGGAAAGGGTTTTGGCAGTTGGTCGAGGGCATTCATCATGTTGAAGTTTTCTTTCTTCAGTACAGCCTCCTCCCCATCTCCCACTTGATGGAGTGCCTCTGATGCCATCTGGTTTGTTCGGGATGACAGCCGTCACTGTGCAGGACAACCCAGCTGACCAGAAGCAGAGAGAAACTGTGGTGGCAGTGGCCACCACTTTAGTCTGGGCAGGATGCGGGTGCAACGAACTGACTTCATAATCATCACAGAGTGTAACAATTACGGGCCAGCCTCCCCCCTTGATTTGAGGCCACTGCTGTCCCGCTAGCTATGTGGCTGGCCAGACCAAGGGCCAGTGTGACTGAGAAGCAGCATCATGAGAGGGGTAAAACCAAGGAACAGACTGCATGAGCCCTTGGGCCCCTTCCAGCTCTAATACTCCATGGTGAGAGCAGCGCTGCCCTTCTCTGAAGATCTCAAAATGCCTGACACCTGTGCCCTTCAGCACTGCCCTGCGAAGGAGAAGAAGGATGGTGAGAGACGGGCACGGGATGTAGAGGATGGCGGTGTGGCCCTGAGAGATAGGCAGTATTGGAAAGTGTCTGTTGGGGAGGGAAACTTTGTCCGTAGATGCTAAGGCTCTCTGTCCTGAAACCACAGGCGGCGGACTCCACTGTGCCCAGTAGCTTGGGGAAAGGGAAAGCCCAGACGGTTCATAGGGGTTCATGGCTCACATATGATCAGACTTCACTGCTAGAATTCTAAATGTGCTACACCGACACTCCCAATACCTTGCTGTGTGGAGGGACAATGGTGGCTGTTGCAGCAGGATACAGAGATGGGCCACACCTGATCTCTGCTCTCAGAGAAACCACGTTACAGTAGGAAAACATGTACACAGCTTCATGGGTGGGGAGGGGAGCTGTTAGAAAGCACTGGCTCTGCAGTCAGACGTGGATGTGAAGTCCAGCCCTGTGCTGCCTAGCTGGGTGACCTTTGGCAAGTGACTTAACCTCACCAAACCTCCGTTTCTTCATTGGTGAAACAGGGATAAAACATAGCGCCTCCCTCACAGATTTGTGATGAGATAACCATGTACAGTTTTATTTCTTCCTGTGGATGAGGCAAAGAACATTTAAAAATGCCAAATTATGCTGGGCGCGGTGGCTCAAGCCTGTAATCCCAGCACTTTGGGAGGCCGAGACGGGCGGATCACGAGGTCAGGAGATCGAGACCATCCTGGCTAACATGGTGAAACCCCGTCTCCACTAAAAAAAATACAAAAAACTGGCCGGGCGAGGTGGCGGGCGCCTGTAGTCCCAACTACTCGGGAGGCTGAGGCAGGAGAATGGCATAAATCCGGGAGGCGGAGCTTGCAGTGAGCTGAGATCCGGCCACTGCACTCCAGCCTAGGCGACAGAGCGAGACTCTGTCTCAAAAAAAAAAAAAAAAAAAAGTCAAATTATGTATTTTTGTGTGTGTTCTATATAACTAAGGTTTTCTGCCTTAAAAATAAATAAATAAATAAATAAATAATAAATAAAGGCCAGGCACGGTGGCTCACACCTGTAATCCCTGCACTTTGGGAGACGAAGGCAGGAGGACTGTTTGAGCCCAGGAGTTCGAGACCTGCCTGTGCAATACGGTGAAACCCCATTTTGTAGAGGTGAAACCTCTACAAAAAAAAATACAAAAATTAGCTGGGCAATGTGGCGCGTGACTGTAGTCCCAGCTACTCAGGAGGCTGAGACAGGAGGATCGCTTGAACCCAGGAGGTCGAGGCTGCAATGAACTGAGATCTCACCAGGGCACTCCAGCCTGGGCGGCCGACCGAGACCCTATATCAAAACAAAACAAACTTTTGAAAAACAGACGCAGGTGCCCCTGGGTGCTTTGCTGCTTCTTGGCACCTGTCGTATAATCTGTAATGATGTGATTTCTGTGATTCCTTTTCATTGTCTGTCCCTCGCTCACAGGTAAGCTCCCTGGGGGTAAAGGCGAGTCGTCTTGGGTCGCATTTTGTCCCCAGCGTTTGGAACGGAAATTGGCACACAGAAGGCTCTTTAGAAGGCCGGTGTGTGTGCTGCGTTAGAACGTAGAGGCCGGATGCGGCCGTGGGTGGCGTGTTGAGCGCAGAGCGGGGTCGTGGGCGGTGGAGAGGGGCGCGCCGCGGGCTGGGTGTAGGGGGCGCAGCGGCTCTGCCCCGCGCGGCCCGCAGATGGCGCTGCAGGCCAGGTCCTGGCCGCGCGCCAGTCTGGAACCCGGAAGCGGCAGCGCGGCGCGACCGGGCTGGCGGGCTCTGGGAGCGGGAATCCCGGCGGATCCCGGGAGGGCGGATAACCCCCAGCCCTACCCTTGGTGCCGCCTCCTCCTCCCTCCTTCCTCCTCCTGCAGCCAGCGCGCCTGTGTCCCCTCTAGGAAGGGGTGGAAGAGGGGCGTCTGGAGAGGACCCCGCGAATGCCCACGTGACTGGCAATCCTCCTTGGGGCTGTTCCGGCCTGCAGGGAACATGGGCGTACTCAGAGTCGGACTGTGCCCTGGCCTCACCCAGGAGATGATCCAACTTCTCAGGAGCCGCAGGATCAAGACAGGTGACCGGGTGTGCGCGTGCCAGAGAGCCGCGCGGGCCGCGCACAGCCTGGGCAGGCCCCGAGGGCTGGCACACTGCCCTGGCATACCTGCAGGGAGCTTCCCCTCCATTCCTAGAGGGCCACGCTTCTGGAGAGGCTCAGGAATGGTGGGCGGGGGGAGCCAAGCTCTAAAGGAGGGTGGAGGATTCCTATTGTGTGTAGGGCACCACTCCGGCTCTTGCAGCTTTGTGATTTCACACTGGCCTCCTGAGAAGGCCTCCTGAGAGGTAGAATTGACACCCCATTTGACAGATGAGGAAGAACCAAGTGTGGGAGGGCCCCCGGCCTCTCTGCCAATCCGCTATACGTGTTTTGTTCTCAGTGGTGGACCTGGTTTCTGCAGACCTGGAGGAGGTAGCTCAGAAATGCGGCTTGTCTTACAAGGTGAGCTCCGTATCTATCTCCACACTCCAAACCTGAGTGTCTTTAAAAGTCCATCGCAAGCCAGCTGGGCGCGGTGGCTCACGCCTGTAATCCCAGCATTTTGGGAGGCCGAGGCGGGCGGGCCACTTGAAGTCAGAAGTCAGGAGCTTCAGACCATCCTGGCCAACATGGTGAAACCCCGTCTCTACTAAAAATACAAAAATTAGCTGGGTGTGGTGGCGGGCGCCTACAATCCCAGCTACTCGGGAGGCTGAGGAAAGAGAATGGTTTGAGCCCAGGAGGCAGAGGTTGCAGTGAGCGGAGATCATGCTACTGCACTCCAGTCTGGGCGACAGAGTGAGACTCTGTCTAAAACAACAACAACAAAAGTCTATCCCACGCCAAAGGGAGCAGAGGGGTCTCCGATATTGAGAAGTGGGGTGAATGAGACCCTGGGATGCCAGCTTCTATGGGCAATTCGTTGCTGAGCAGTCTGGGCCCCTTTGGCAGGCCCTGGTTGCCCTGAGGCGGGTGCTGCTGGCTCAGTTCTCAGCTTTCCCCTTGAATGGCGCTGATCTCTATGAGGAACTGAAGACCTCCACTGCCATCCTGTCCACCGGCATTGGCAGGTTTGTATGTGCACTTGGGGAAGAAGGAGAGAGGCAGGAAGATGGGGCTGCCTCTCAGCTCTGCTTTTGATGCTTGAGTAGACAGGAGGTTTTTTTTTTTAAGCAATAATGGATGGGAAGGAAAGGGGTCAGGACTTCTGAGTTCTTATCCTATAATAGGGTTATGGGTTTCTCAGCCTTGGCACTTGATATTTAGGGACAGGTAATTATTTGTTGGGGGTTGGAGGCTGTCCTGTGCATTGTAGGATGTGTAGCAGCATCCCTGGCCTCTGCCCACTGGATGCTAGTAGCACCACCCTTGCTCCAGTTGTGACCATCAAAAATGTCTCCCGACATGGCTAAATGTCCCCTGGGAGGCACAACTACCTCTGGTTGAGAAGCACTTTCCTATCACACAAGATGTCAGTATCTCATTATTTTCACCATCTTCTCTGGCCCTAATTCTTGTTTTACTTAAGGATATGGCAAGAGAGAACATTTATTGAGTGCCTACTATGTGCAGGCATTGCCCGTATGTTCTAGGTAATCTCTTCAGTGACTCTGCCAGTTAGAGATTATTAACCTTAGTTGACTTTAACCTAAGAGGAGCAAGTGGCAAAGGTGAGGCTCAAGCCCGGGAGTATGTGGCCCAGAACTTGGTTCCTTCACCACATCTGCAGCAGTAGGGAACAGGAGAGTTCAGATAAAGGAGGAGTTGCAGGCCGGGTGCAGTGCTCATGCCTGTAATCCCAGCACTTTGGGAGGCTGAGGTGGCAGATCACTGGAGGCCAGGAGTTTGAGACCTGCCTGGCCTGCCTGCCTGCCCAAAATGAAATCCTGTCTCCACTAAAAATACAAAAATTAGTCAGGCGTGGTGGCAGGCACCTGTAGTCCCAGCTACTTGGGAGGCTGCGGCAGGAGAATCGCTTGAAGCTGGGAGGTGGAGGTTGCAGAAAGCTGAGATCGCACCACTGCACTCCAGCTTTGGTGACAGAGCGAGACTCTGTCTCAAAAAAAAGGAGCAGTTATATTCTGCCACGTTGTTTGGTGGGTTGGGGAAGAGTTGCAAAGACGACAGACATTTGCTGACCAAGTGAGTCTTGACCTTTTTCCTGGTCCATTTGTTCAGAAATTGATGAATAATTGTCACCACAAACGTCTTTGGATTGGTTTGGCCCTTTCTGTTTCCTTAACACATTCTCTTGGCAGGGTTCATGCAGCATGGTGCTTGCTTTCCCTGGTTGGGAGTCTGAGTCTGTGATCCATCAAGCACTGGCTAAGGGCCTGCTGGGTGCTTGGTATGGGCAGATGATACACACGAATGAGGCAAGGCCCCTGCCCTTAAGGCCTCTAGTTGGGTGTAGGGGAAAAGCAAGTGAATACAAGAGAGGTGTAAGCACCGAGGGAGGCAGCGGTGAGGAGGAAGTGGTGAACAGGAAGCCGATTGGCCTTGGGCTTAGGGAGTTTATAAATCCAACAGATATGGAGGGCGCACTCAAATGGTAAGCTGGGAGGATTGCAGCTGCCTCAGGTCCCTGCAGGGTGATCGTGGAGTGGGTTCAGGAATGTTCTGAAGAAGGCAGAACTTGGGCATGGAGGAACAGATGGACTTTCGCTGAATGCTTTCTATGAATGAGGCACTGCACTGAGCACTTCACGGTACATTATTTCATTTATTCATCGCAACCACCAATGAACATGTTACTGTTTAAATCACCATTCTAAGCTGGGCGAGGTGGCTCACGCCTTTAATCCCAGCGCTTTGGGAGGCAGAGGTGGGCGGATCACGAGGTCAGGAGATCGAGACCATCCTGGCTAACATAGTGAAACCCCGTCTCTACTAAAAATACAAAAAATTAGCCGGGCGTGGTGGCGGGCGCGTGTAGTCCCAGCTACTGTTGAAGAGGAACTGTGACAAGGCCTACTACCCAGGAGGAATATATTATGAAGAATCAAAGCTGACTCACCAGGTTTCTAGCCCCTCCCCTCCCCTCCCCTCCCTCCCCTCCCCTCCCCTCTCCTCCCTCCCCTCCCCTCCCCTCTCCTCTCTTTCTTCTGACTGAGTTTCACTCTGTCACCAGGCTGGAGTACAGTGACGCGATCTCAGCTTACTGCAACCTCCGTCTCCCCAGGTTCAAGTGATTCTCCTGCCTCAGCCTCCTG